CTGGTTTAGCATTAGCAAAGCTAAGATTCTCGTTTAGCATTATAGCAATTATTTTCAAGTAGAGTTCTCTGCAGTGAGACATCCAGTGACTGCAGAGAACTCTACTTGAAAACTGACCATTTTAGCCGTAACTTGAGACAGGAAGGGCTTAGCTGCACGAAACTTGAACGCCACACATTTGGAAAGATGTTTAACAATTCGGCTTGGCCAAAAAAGCTCTGACTTACCCGAAAAAAATTGCTATTTTTAATCTGAGTTATAAAATCAGGGCTATTTGGCCAAAAGCCACCATAAGTATCTCTGCAAAGTCTTTATAATCACAGAGTGACAATCATTCAACTCATTTCTTCTCATGTCTGTGTTTTATTAATAAAAATGAACGTTTAATTATGAAGAAAGGCCAGGCAGGGGTATATCCCTCTCGATCCCAAACCTTACCGAGAACTTCGCCCCCTCATTTGCATATTGGACCATGAAATGGTAAAACAAGAAGAGATTATCTGCGGAATCAGAGTGGGCGTGTCTAAAGGATAAACACTGTGGGCTACGAGGCCTACATGACGGTATCCTTAGACACTGCTTGACCTCTTTACAGCCTGACCCCAACACTAAGGTTAACCAGGAGAAATGTGACCCAAGCAGGGGTCTCCAGAAAAAGTGGTGCCGTACAGTATTGCCCCTTTTGTTCTTGTCCAATCAGGTGATGACGTACGGTGACGCCCCCTTTTTTTGCTTGTCCAGTCAGGTGTGTCCCTTTAAAAAATCCGTCAAATCAGGTGTGTCGCTTTAGAATCGCCTTTCCTTGGGACACGCCCACTCGTCCGCAGAAACCCCTACTTGCCTACTTGAGTAAAACATGCAAAAAATGTATTATAATATATTAAATTTGTTTTTCTTTTCATGGGGACATTTATGTATTTGATGGAATAGGTATTAATACTTTATTAATTACATTATTTATTTTTTATTTCATTATTTATTTATTTATTGTATTTTGAATAAAATGGCTCTCCATATTTTAGAGGTTTAGCATCAGCAAAGCTAAGATCCTTATTTAGCCGATTTGTGGTTAGTGAAGCTAACTTTTTGGTTAGCTGTGCCCACCGGTAAACAGGAAAACAAAAGATGTGAGTGCTGAATTTTGTGTTTGAATCATTACGATTTTGACTTCCTGCTTTGATAAAATCACAGAGGAGGAAATAAAAGCAGGGGTTCTGTTGTAGTTTGCCGCCGTCGCCCCTTCACACTCACAGGAAGTCTCGTCGTTTTCAGCACCGGGGGGATTTTTAACTTTATGCATTATTTCTAATGGCTCGACCCGAACTGTGCGACAGCCGGAAAGCGCCCGCGCCTCCTTCGATCAATAATTAAATTATCAGCCGAAGCCGTCGGCGGAGGTTCTTCGTCACAGGCTTTTGCTGCAGCTGTGACCCTGAAGACGGGCCTGGCATGACTCAGCAGAATTTTCTGTCCCGTTTTGGACTGCATCAGCAGCAGCAAACAACAAACCCTCTGCTGCAGCTGCACACCTCGACATCAGCCGACAAGTGTGCGTTTCCTCTTTTAATCTGCTGCCAGCATCTGGAACCCCAACAGAGGAGAATGAGATTAATTAACTCTGCATCGTTTATTTGGACTCTGTTAAATCTTTGTTTTAGAAAATGCAGTTTATTTTTAAAAATGTGATGTATTTAGAGGTATTTTAACCAATTTATGGCATTTAAATCACAGCTGAAAGAAGGATTTAAGCTTTACATACCAAAAACTCATAAATTTAGCTTTTTATGTATATTTATAGTATAAGCTTAAAAAAACTGAGTGAAGACAAATAAAACCCAAAGAAATGCCTCCGTATTATCACCATGGTAACCACGCTTGCATCTGTCACTCCCTTACAGCACAGAAAAACACTGAAATGAGGGCCTCAATGGAGCAGCTGCTAATTATCAGATATTTAGAGACGATTATAGCTTCAAGCCGTAGAATCAAAAGTTTAGTTTTTCTGCAGGAACACATCCTGACACGTCTCCTTGGCTCACATCCTAACTCGTATTTCTCTGCACCTATGAGGTGATAAACGTCTGATTTTACGGCCGAATATTTGCCGTCTTCAGGCTGCAAAACTTGGAATCTGTAAGGAGCGATGAAGCAGGACAGACTGTATTTTTGCAGTGAACTCACAGCTGACCCGCTGCTAAAGTAATTAGCTGTCCTGTGATCGCTGGCAGAGCCGATGATGAAGCTCTGCTCTGCAGGAGCTGGAGAACAGGAACGAGGAGCCGCTGAGCCGTGCACAAGAACTGCAGGAAGAGTTCCCTCTCTGAGCAGCTCAAAGTCTTTTACATTTTTTATGACGTGTAATCAGGGGCGGAGATACACTTAATTTTGCCAGGGGGTGGCACAGGGGAGGGCACGTACAAAAAAAATGGCCACCACAGCTAATATCAAATTCAAACAGAATACTGGGCTGAAATTTTGTTTTTTTGTGCTGAATGCTAGTCAGAGTTAAAGCTAACCGCTAATGCTAAATTTACAAAGTGCAATAGCTCTGCCATTTTTTAGACAAAGAGTTTGTCTAAAAAAATGTCTTTCAGGGTAATAAATGCTAATCAATAAATCAAGATGGCCAAGACATCTAACTTAACCATTTTAAGACTTATTGAGCTAAAATTAGTTGTGGTGCAGCTAAGAATGAACCCAAACACATGCTAAATGCTAATGCTAACTTTCCAAAAAGCTATAATTCAACAATTTTTAAACAAAGCTGAAAATTAGGAGATCCCCACCCCGCTTGTCAATCATTTGGGGATGGCACCTCGGGTGGCCAATCAGGTGCTAGGAATGGCATTGCCACCCTGGCCTCTCCTCTGGCTCCGCCCCCTGCATGTTAGACTTTACATCTTGCTTTTTTAGCAGAATAAACTTATTCAATACAAGAACAGTAAACTAATGCTGCACAAACAATAAGAATCACAGAAGTAAAGTTCTTAAAGAACAAACTCAGCAAAAACCTTTTCCAGGACAAATTAAGACTGGAAATAGACTAAACCCACAAAAACGTTTAGCAGCTTCAGCACATTCAGTTTATTGATCTCAGTTTGCAAAGTGCCAAGAAAGTCGCCGGTACCCGAGAGAGTGGCAGACTTTCTCTCTGCTGCAGGATTAACTAACTCCTCACATTTCCTCTTTATAAGCAGCTCAGTTTATCATTTATTGTCCTTTTTAGGCTTTAAAGTTCTTGTTATGACGCCTTCTTTAACTGGACATATTGTCAGGTGTTTATGTCACCTTCAGAATGATAAAATTCAGACACAGAAGATTTAATTGAGTCTAGTAAACATGTAGAAAACATGCAGTCAGGTGTAATTCTGATAAATATTTGAAAAAACTTTTTAAACAGAACTTCCTGTTTTAACTACATGGAAAACAGAACATAAACACAAGTCTAAACAGCTAGTCTAAATTAAATAAAAAACTACACTGAAGCTGAAGTGTTTGGTTCATGAATGGTTAAAAACCATAGACATGTGTCACATGAATAAATAACGGAGAATACTAAACAAAATGTACGTACAGAGACATAAACAGGAAAACAACTTTTAAGAATACTGACTTTTGTTCTCAGAATTGAAAAAATGTCAGTGTTCTAAGAAAAAATGAGAATTCTAAAATTAAAGTCAAAACTCTGAAAATTTTTATGTGGCTCTAATTTTCTTCCATATAAATGCAAAAAGTTGCTTAAAAACATCAATTTTTATTTATATTGCACAATATTTGAAAGGAAAAACAACAATAAAAAACATTTAGCAGAAAAGCCTATAAATTAAAGGAAAACTATATTTTAACAAATATTTAAAAGAGATGCAGTTACACACTGTGGCCAGTTGACGTTAAAGAGAATCACTCAAAACCTCAGGAAAATACACAAAAATTTAGATGTAAATTTAAAGTTATGTACAAACAATTTTACCCACTGACTTTGTGTTTTTTGTCTTATTGTGTGAATGATGACTCAACATTAAAGCAGTTGTCCTGTTTATGCCTATATGTACATTTTATTTAGTATTTATTAAAGTACTTCTGTTCTTTATGTATATGACGTACAAGTCTATATTAACAATATGATGATACGTGGACTGTACTTACATGTGGTACTCAAAGCTCTTTGCACTACAATCTGTGCCTTTATTTACCCATTTATGCAGCGTTCTATCTTCACAAAGTTAATCTACATAAATCCAGCTATGGAGACTGATCAATGCGTTAGTGCGCATTCATACACTGAGACACACATCAGAGGCAGTGGGGGTTCAATGTCTTGCCCAAGGACACTTCGACACATGACTGGATGGGGTGGAATCAAACTTCAACTGTTGCATTAAAAGATGTCTCCCCACTCAGCCACAGCCTTAAGGATATGTAATTTTTTGAGGTATCGCCTGTGCTTTTCACATGAGACCATTAATAAAACTTTTCTGCACAATATCTCATTTTCATATTTATGTTATTTCAATTTTATTGTGTTGTACGGTATTTTTATTTTCTTTTCTTAATTTTTAATATTATTTTAATTCTATTATCATTGCTACTTTCGATAATGTTGCATAGCAATATATTGTTTTGTGGACTGATTTATCTGCTGCTGCTGTTACACCTGAATTTCCCCTCTGTGGGACAATAAAAGCTGTTTCTATTCTATTCTATTCTATTCTATTCTATTCTATTCTATTAAGATAATCTTATGTCCATCCATCCATCCATCCATCCATCCATCCATCCATCCATCCATCCATCCATCCATCCATCCATCCATCCTCTGTTTATTGTATTATTAGTAAATTAGTTGTGAACTTATGTGTAGTTTGTGTTTAAACATTGTTTTTGTAGATTAACCAAGCTAAATTTACGAGTTTTCTTGTTATTTATTTTTCCCCACACCGGGCACTTCCGGGCCTCCATACAACGGCGCTCCGCTTCAGGTTCCCGGATGTTCTCGCATTTTTCCCTGTTCAACATGGCGCCGGGAAAGTAAGACTTTTTGCTAATGTAACACACTTCATCCAAAGTTGGCTCGCTCGTGCTTTTTTAGGCACGATAAAGTTTACCAACACCCCGCGGACTCTACGGGAAAAGTTCCTCTCGGTCTTTCTGGGTGAGTGAGCTCCTTTTCTCTTTATAAACGATGTAAAACCGATTTATTTCGGTTACGATCGCTCGCTATTAGCGGCTAATGCGTTAGCCTCCGCTCTTCCAGTTCTCCCCAGGCAGGTCCGAGGAGTCCGGATCAGTCTCGGTTCTGTTCGTGGCTGAAAACTATGGTGCAGTCCAGGAGTGAAGTTTGTTGAGCTGTGCTGTTTAAAAGTCACTCGTGGAAAAAAGTTGCAGCAGTTTGAAGTCAGGAAAGCTAATGTTTAACCTGAGAGGATGTTTATTTTCAAACGCCGCCGCTTAAGCGAAACGAGACTGACGTTAATCAACAATCAAAAGTTTCTGCTCTGATTTAGTTTCGCCTTTCATTTATTTTAAGCATATTCATATCTGAATTGTGTGCAAGTAGATGTCTGCAGGGGGGTGAGAGGAGATTTTGTTGGAAAAATTGATTTGGTTCTGGACGACACATTTTTGTGATGCCGGAGCTGCCTGGAGGGGTAATTTTTCCTCAAACAACCTGTTCATCATTTTCTGCTAATTTATTTTACAAGAACAAGAAAAAATAAAGTAAAGCTACATTTATAACATTATCAGCACGGGAGTTGCTTAATAGTTTAATTTTTGTTTGGTGTGGGCAGGTCTCAGCTGTACAAAGTTTTATTTTGAAAGGATTTATTTGCACCACAGTGAGTTTTTTTTAAAAAATATAATAAATAATATAAACAATTTTGAGTGATAAATTCATTGTGGGTGTCTTTTTTCACAGTGGACCCACATTAAAAAAGCAACATTTTAAAGGAGGCAGTGTTTGGTGCCAGCTGACCCAAAAGGTTTCTCACAAAGAGAAAAATGCAGCTGAACTCCAATCTTCTCTCACTCTCCATGAGATGGAACTACAAAATAAAAGCATCCGTGTTTTGGCGTTTACCAAAAACCAATAAAATGATAGAAGTTAAAGTTTTTGGGGTTTTTTTTGTGCTCAAAACTTTTCTCTTTGCAAATCTTAAAGCTATAGCTCAGACGTTTTGAAGTGGGGCTTTATAGAAAGCTTGTGAACTGTCAATATCTTACCTGTTGTGGAGTATGGCAGGCCATTTTGACATAAAATCTGCTTCTCCATGCTTACATTCCAGATATCTTATGGTTTATGATCAGACAAATTAGTTAATTAAGAGATCTCTAATTAGATTTTGACTTGGCAACATTTTATTTATTTATTTATTTATTTATTGATATTTAACCAGACAAATCCCAATTTCCCTCACTTTTTGTTCTGACTAGTCATAATTCCAATTTAAGATGTTTTAAATGTATTTGTAGATATCACATTAGATTCGACTAGTGCAAATTAAATTGCAAATGAAAGCAAATAATGACACTTCACATTAAATTAGAGATATTTAAAACTGTATTTTTGATGAGTCACAATTCCTTTTAAGGTATCTCCAAATGAATTGTTGAATATTTTTTTCATCTAGACGGCTTTTCTGTTTCAGATATGTTGAGTAATTATTCTGTCTGGTGAAAATGTCACAGATTTACGTGGCGTTTTAGCCTCATTGAGCCACTAACATTAATTTGCTCTTCAGTGATCTGCAGTGTCAGGACAGTCCAACTCAAATTCTCGTTTTTAACATGATTTTTAGCTTCAACTTGACACAAATTAAGACAAATAGATAATTTATTGTCTGTCATTGCAGACAGGCAGCTGTTTGGACAGCTAAGTGGCAGCAGGGGGGCTTACGTGCAGTTTCTTAATTCAAATATTTAAAAACGTAATTTTGACTCATCATAATGTTTAAGATACTTCAAGGCATTTTGATCTGTCAAATACAGATATATTAAATTACCATTCAGGAGAGTCGAAGTCAGAACTCATTTTTATATGTCTAGAACGTAATTACAGATAAAGATTAGATGATTTTATGTTAAAATGGCCTGCCATACATGGATATTATGATGGATTCCTATGAATGCCGTTTTATAAATCCTCACATTGTTGTTGACGTAGGTTTTTATGGTCATTAGCAGCTAGCTGTAGCACGTTCTGTGCAGCCTGAGGCACTTCCTGCTGGAGTGTCATCTCATCTGTGGATTAATTGTGCCGCAGGAAGTCGTTAGTGGTCTGAACGAATGATTGACAGGTTTCTGAAGAACTTCAAGACCTGCAGAAGAAACAACTAAAACCTGCAGGGTAGTGGGTCTGCAGGACCTGGACTGAAGTTAAATCCTTAGTTTTTGAAGTCTTTATATTTGGAGTGACTCAGTTTTTTATTATTTTTCATCAGAAACTCGGAACCTCGACCCGATTTGAACAAAAGTCTTTCTCTGTGTCAGAGCTGCGGTGAAGGTCCCTCAGCCGGTTTTCATGCAGAACAGCTCATGTTTGTGTTGAAATATGTGTCAGTTTTATCTGGTGTCCTCGCTGGCTCTGCTTTCTGCGCCGTCTTTATCTTTGACCTTTCCACATTCCACAACCTGCCGGCCTCTGATTGGCCGCAGCGCCGCGTGCTCTGGTTTGAACTCGGCCTCCGGATTGGCAGGTTGGTGCGTCTTCGGCTGCGATACGTTAAGTTCACCGGCTCCTGTAGTGATTTTACTCCCAGAGGAACGTAAAGAAAACATTTCTTCACTGACAGTTTGATTGTAGATGTTACTCTGAGAAGAAAGTTTTTAAAAAGATGATCTAATCTTATTTAAAGTTGATTAGTTTTCCTGTTTGTGTGTTTTTGATTTTAACCGTTTTTGTATCAAAACATTTAGCTAGTATTTTATTTTTTCTTTTATGCTTTTTAAAAAATATTGAACTATTTAAAATTACATTCACCACAGAAATACGTTAAAATCTGCTTAGTGTCATCATTGTTCTCTTTAAAATCGGTTTCAGGTTCTGTTTTCATCTTATTCTATTTTTAGATTTTAGCTTTTATTACATATTTGCTACTTTGAGCATTTAGCTACTGTCTTCTTGCTACTTTTACTTTCTTGCTTCATTTTTATAATTCTGATTTTAGCTTTAGCATCTGATTAGCTAATATTAGTTTTGTCTTTTAGCAAATCTGCTTTTAGCTACAGTTTTGCTTTTAGTCATCCCTCTGCTTCGTTTAGCTAATTCTAGCATTAAGCTATGGGTTTGCTATTTTTAGCCACATGCTGATTTTAGCATCCCTTTTGCTTTGTTTAGCAGCTGTTGTGATAATTTTAGCTTCATCTGTTGTTATAGCCATGCTAATTTTACCTTTTAGCTACTATTCTGCAGATTTTAGATTGTAGCTACTGTTTTGCCACTTTTTAGCTACCTTCTTCTTTTACATTTTAGTTTTTTTTATTTATTAACAGTTTTTTTGTTTTAACTTTAGCTCTTTTTGCTACATTTAGCAGCTGTATTACTCATTCTAGCTTTAGCATCTGTTTTAGTTAAGCCAGCTGTTGTGTTGAATTTAGTTTTCAGCTACTGTTTAGTTTTTTTGTGTGTGGTTGTTTTAACTTTAACAACATTTTTCTCTGTTCTGCTTCTGAGTCTCTTTTGTTCTCGAAGATTTTAGTTTTTTGAGCAACTTTTTGTGGTTTTGAGGAAAGTCGGTGGAAGAAAACGGGACACTGTGAAGAATTATTTCCACAGTTAGTTTTTTACAGTGTTTGTGTTTACAGTGTTTGTGTTTACAGTTGACATGTTTGTCGTCAGTGGCGTGATGGGTCGGTTTAAATTAACACGCAGACGTTGGATTTCACAGATGCTCCTCCAGAACGGTGGTCTAATTAGAAGCAGGCCGTTAAATATTATCACGAGAAGATTTTTAAAGAGGAATTTGTGCAACTACTTCTTATCCTTCTCCTTTTTTTTAAAGTAACATTTAAAAAGCTCAACATTTTTCCTTTGGGGATGGTGGGAATTTTTCTGTCATTAGTTTGGTATTTTAACCAAATAATTTTTAGATGTTTAAGGTTTTAACATTAATAGTACCTACAAATATTATCTAGAATGTATGTACAAAAAATAAGCTAAATGGGAATGTGATGGCTATTAACAAAATATTTATAATGTTAAAGCGCATCTGTTAGCAAAATATCTCATGAATCAGTGGATATGTTTTAATAAAACCTTCAGGAAGTAACCAATGAACAAACATCTACTGCTGATTAACTTTTGGAGTTAATTCAATTCAAGATGGCCGCCACAGCTAATGGATTTTAATCAGTTCAAAAGTGGCTAAAAATCAGTCAGTTTTACAGATAAGGAGCTATAATTTGGTGTGGTAGTAGCTGAAAGTTTTCTATAACAAAGTCAGTGCTTCATCTTTACAAGTCTGACTTGACAGTTGGGCAACGTGCATTCCTGGGACTGCATGATCAATAAAAAAAATGCTGTGGGTTTAAATTTAAACTTTACAAACTAACCAGCTCAGTTTTTAATTATAAAAATAATAATAATAATTTATTATTATTATTATAATTAATGTGTTCATGTAACCAGAAGGAGCTCCGTTCGGCTCAAACATGTATTTGGCAGGTTTTGTGCAGGAGACCAGCGCTCGTGCTCATTCCTCGGACCGGTGACGTCATGAAACCGGTCCGCGCGCAGAAAACCAAACAGAAACGCGACACACAGACCGACTTTACGGTCCGTGGGTTCTGGTCGGTGCCGCTCCGCTTCGTGTCCTTTTTATTTATCCGTGTTTTGTTCCGGTTCGTTTCACGAAAGTCCTCCGGCGGTTCGGCGGACTTTCCTCTCTCTCCTGCTTTCTGTCCGGTTTTCCTCCGCTCCTCCACCGCGGCGCGACGTGTCGGTACCAGCTGGCCTCTGGACGGTGAGTGTTTCATCCGATGAAACAAACTTTTATGTTGCTCTTTTTTTTGGACTGTAAATCCGGGTTTTGGTCGGGAGGAGAAATCCCGGAGGCAGAACAAACGGTCCGTTGTTAAAATGTCAGCCCGGATTAACGGAGTCAGAGGCGGGAGAAGCAGAACTTTACTGTTGTCCACCTGTGTCTCCGTGGAGAC